GGTGGGGATCAGGGCTCAGCCTGGGGTGGGGATCAGGGCTCAGCCTGGGGTGGGGATCAGGGCTCAGCATGGGATGGGGTCCAGGGATCAGCCTGGGGTGGGGATCAGGGCTCAGCATGGGATGAGGATCAGGGCTCAGTCTGGGGTGGGGATCAGGGCTCAGCATGGGATGAGGATCAGGGCTCAGCCTGGAGTGAGGATCAGGGCTCAGCCTGGGGTGGAGATCAGGGCTCAGCCTAGAGTGGGGATACAGACTCTACAGATGGTTAATAACCATCAGAGTTCCTCAGGACAGTAACTATTATGAGTGACTCTTGTACAAGTCACCCCAGAGTCCTTCTGGGAAAGTGCAGCACAGTTTTCTACCCTGTGACCTGGCAGAGCTGCTTCTGACCACAGGGTATGTGTGAGAGAACCTCAGTAAGAATTTCTTATCAGAGTTGGCTTGATTCCCTGTTCCCAATATAGCAGTTACCTCAAGGTCTCAGGTCTCTAATCTGGGAAGCTGGCCTGCACGGCATAGTGGGGATGAGTCTGGGTTCAGCTTTGGGGAAAGGTAGGGTGACACCAGGGCTGCTTACCTGAGGTAGGAGATGACTCCCATGGACCTGTGGGTAATAAAACCACAAACTGAATCACCCAGGCCTGGCCTGCAAACAAGGGGAGAGGAGGAGGAGGGGCATGCAGGAAAAGTGGGAGCCATGGGCAGGTTCAGAGAGGAGTGACTTGGGAGCTGACTAAGCCTGTCAGCCCGTGGAGCAGATGAGTGGGGATATGGGAGGTGCACTGGTGGGAGCCATGGGGCCTTGGGGATGGGAGGCCTGTCCAACCTGGGCCTTACTCACCAGATGTCAGAACCCTCGCTTACAGGGGTCTGCTCGATGACCTCAGGGGGCACAAACTCTGGGGAGCCATATTTGCTGTACTGTGGCTCTGATGGGGTGATTTTTTGGGCAAAGCCAAAGTCACAGATTTTGATGTCTTCCTGAGCAGGGTGCACCATCAGAATGTTGGCAGGCTGTCAGGAGAGTTGGGGGCAGTAAGTAAGGGATAGGCCTGCATGAGGACCCTCAGGGGCCTGAAGAGACCACCACCTAGTGACCAAGTGGCCCCTGGACTGGTAGGAGCCCCAGGAGCTGGTTTTATGACATTTGGGGAGAACTTAAGTTTGATTAGAGCCACGCCCCACCTGCAGGGGCTATGCAAGGGCAGTGACCTCCCATCTCTGGAGGTGAATGAGCTTGTCAGGGAGGCTGGAGGGGGCACCTGTGCCTGGACAAGGGCAGGGGGTCAGCACCTTTATGTCCAGGTGGAGGATGCCGCTGGTGTGCAGGTACTGCAGCCCTTCCACCACCTGGTGGATATAGATCTTCACCTGCGGGGAAGACCCGAGCTCAGGTGAGAACCTTTCTCACCATTCCTTCCCTCCTCCCACTTCACTCCTAGCCCTGCTCCCTGTGACGCATCCCACATTAATTGCTGCCACGTCTCCCCATCTAGACCCCAGAGCTTAGAACAAGTCCCACAGGGCAGGTTATATATAAGGCCACCCTAGACCTTGTGTGTCCAGACTCAAGTGAGGCCTGAGGCTGGGAAGGGGTGTTCTCAGGAGAAGTAACAGCCTAAGCAAAGCTAGGAGAGCAGGAGGGTGAAAAGGCTAGCTCAGATGCAGGCTACAAGTGGGAAGACATGTGGTCACAGAGTGGAAGAGCTTTGAAAGCGTGGCTGAGTTGCTGTGATCGCACTTCAGGCTCTGGAGAGCCACAGAGGGTATTTGAGCTGGGGAGTGTTCTGCCTTGGCTGTGGCCTGGGGGACACAAGTCTAAGGTTGAGGTGGTGCTGTGTCTGCAGGGACAGGTGGTTTGAACAAATGGGTCACCTCAGCCTCTGTCACCACACTCTTCTTGAACAGGCGGTCCAGCAGCTCCTCTGATGAACATCTGGACCCCAGTCAAGGACATTTGAGTCACAGTGTGGCAATAGGGACCAAGAGAGGTCTTACCTCTTGGTGGTGGGGTTCAGGGAACGACAAGGATGGGAGGTCTCCACAGAACTCCAGAGAGCACCCAGACTTAAGGAGAGGGCTGTAAGCCAGACTGGGGGCTGAGACCAATGAGGGCACCATGGGAGTGCAATCCTGGGAGTGGATATACTAGGAAGGGCCAGATGAGGGCTAACAGCTGACAAGTTAGTGAGCTCACATGATACTCAGACAGAGCCACCAGTAACCTTGGCACAGCTTTGGTTGTGCGTGAGTGGGTAGGGCCCAACCCAGGGTGGTGGATTAAGAATGAGGGTGTATTCACTTTTTCTTGAACCTGGGCAAAGAATAATGGAGGACATGGGGCAAAAAGCACAAGCACCCAGGCCCTAGGAATCTGACAGTGTCACCTCAGACTGTCTGGACCCCAAGCCCCCGGAGTGGGGCAGCCACCTAAGAAGCACTGGAAGGGTCACACGAAGATGGAGACGGGCCTGACTAGCCCAGCCTGCTACTTGTCCCCACCAAGGTAGAACTGCGGCTGTTTGGGCCCTCCTGACCAGCCCAGGTACCAGCAGAACACCAGTTAAGTGGCCCCAGTTGATTCCATATGGAGCAGAACTGTCCCACTGAGCCCCACCCAGGTTCCAGCTCATAGACTCATAAGGTCTGAAGCTATGGGGAGAAGGGAACAGGGATTAGAATTCAAGGACTGGACGCCTGCTGCCACCACACATCTAGGCTGGGGCCTGAGAGGCCAGGAGCACACACAGCTCCTGCAAACCAGTATCTGAATCCCATGTTTGGTCTTGTGGGACCCTGCCTACCGTGACGTGTGCCTCCCCCAACTTCCACGGCCTGAGGGTAGGATACAGTTCCATGACGAGGATCAAGGTCTTTCGGGTCTCGAACTGGTCCAGCAGCTTGGTGATAAGTGGGTGGCTCAGCGTACCAAGGAGGTCCCGCTCCTGGTATGCCTGGGCCCGAGTCTTGCTCCGAAGGGGGATGAACTTGGCAGCACAGAACATCTTGTTCCCTTTGTGCTGGACTCTCTTCACGAAGCCAAACACACCCCTGAGCAGAGGGAGCTCACGGTGGATGCCTGTGTTGGGGTTCAGCCCACCCCTCTCCCATCTTAGGGCAGGGCCATACCTTCCAATCTCCTCCTGGACTTCGTAGAAAGAGTGCAGTTTCCTCCGGCTGCTTTGCCTTTCTGATTCTGACTCACTTTCTCCTACAGATGAGGTAAGGGAGCTGTCCATATGATAGACACAAAGGCCTGGTCTCTCCCGCTCATCTCTGTGGTACCCAGGTTGTTCCTGCCCACCTGCACCTGTGCACCTTCCCTGGACAGTGGACAACTCACCTCCAAGAACCAGCAGCTCTGCCTTGCACAGCACCTCACCGCTGGCATTGCGGGCCAAACAGGTGTAAACACCAGCATCGTGTTGGGTCACATCCCTCAGCACCAGGGAATATGCAGTCCCATCTTGCTGCTGACTGAGGCGGTCACAGTTCTCCAGCTGGGCTTTGTCCTAGAGGCTCAGGAGTTAGGGTGGCCAGCAGCCTGCCCAGATGGCCCAGGAACCCACCCAAGGGGAGTTGCCCTTCCTCACCCGAGGGGAGCTCTCAATTCCTGTGTGCCCAGCACTGCCTGGCCCAGAGACCCCAGAGTCCAAGAATCCTTCCCTTACCTTGTACCATGTCACTGTGGGCTGGGGAGTCCCTTCAATGATGGCCTGAAATTGAGCTGTGCCACCCGTCAGTGCCTGCACATCCTCAATGGTGACCTGCATGGATGGGGCCCCTGGACCAGGAGGGAGCCTGTGAGCCCAGAGCCCTGGGGGCCCACCACACCCCACCTGGAACTTCAACTTGCTGAACACCTACTATATGCTGGAACTCTCATGTCAAGGTGTCCTAGTAATCCCCGGGGTCAATGCAGCCCTAAGATCTGCCCTACTCAGTAGACAACCATTTGCTTCCCAAATGCAGAATTATCCCCTCCTGATTGCTGAGACATCTGACAAGCAAAAAGTCCTTTCTTCCATTGAACTACTATCTCTCCTGATAGTGCAAGATCAGGAGGACAGTCAGGCCAATGTACACAGAACATGCTAACTTTGGGCTCCCTGGAAACGTCCCCATGGATGGTTAAGTTGTCTGTGGCCTCCTGTGATAGACCAGGGACAGAAGGCCCCTGTGAGTGCAAGACCACAGTGGAGTGGCCCCAGGATGGGACACTGGAGGACTTTACAGAACCCGCCATACAAAGATCCTATAACTCAGGCTCAAGCACAGATGCCACCCCTCTGAGCCCATCCCCCATACTTGTAACACCAGTGTCGCTGGTCTGGTACACATAGGTCCTGTGGGTAGTCTCCATGAACACGTGACTGTGGGCATCCCAGAGTGGTTCTGCTGCCCCTGCCCCAGGCCAGGCCGCACCCTCTATCCTGTGGTCACAAGTGAGGAGCCTGTGAGTTCTGTACACACCTGGTGAGATGGGGTCCTCCAACCACTCACCCAAGGGAGGCTCTCCTCCCTGCCCTTCCTTTAGGCTCAGGCATCTTGTGCACCCCTCAGGCTCTGCCATCCCCACAGCATGTTCCCTCAGAGTCTATGTGCTGCCCCACCATGTGACCCACTTGCACATGAGGATAGTTACCGAATGGGGACGGTCCGTTCCAGGGCCCCAGAGTCCACCAATAGCTTCTGCTCCAGACCTGCATCAGGGAGAGTCTGTACTGTTGCCTTGGGCTCACTGTCGACCTTGGCTGGTGGAAGACAAGGGACTGAGTGAGGTACCACCTTGGTGGGACTGGGAGGCATGGCCAAAGAAGGTGGACATATACCATCTCAGGGTATCAGGGGGTGAGAGCGGAGGCGCATGGTGGGCTCTAGGGACACCAGGTCCTGGAGCAAAAATGGGGAAGTTCCCTGATACGGAGTTCCTCCTAGTAGCCTGGGGCCAACTCCTGATGTCCCTGCTGTAGAGCCTGGACTGATGCGATGGGCTTCAGCAGCTCTCCGGACACACATTAACTGGGCATGCTGGCTTAGCCCTCCATGTTGGAAAGGTGGGCCGCTAAGACCCAGGCCACACAGGAGTGGTACTGTGCCCACGACCAAGGTCATTGATGAACGGACCAACAATGTGCATGGGACCAGAGGCAGGGTGTCCAGCACTGACAACAGGAGCTGGAGCTTGGGGGCACTGCACAGGGAAACTTGTCTGGCTTCTGCTAGCTGGGCCTGCTCTGCCTTCAGGACCTGGCAGGCTGCCTTCTCTGCACCCTGGCACACAGTCCAATGAGGTGGTGCATTACAGAGGTCCAATGCAGGCTACATAAACGAGGTTGGAGCTGACCACAAGCGCACCACTAAAACAGGTAAGCCCAGAAGGAGCTGGAATTGGTGGGAAGCACTGGCTACGTAGGTTCTGTGTGTGGCCAAGAAGTGATGCTAATTGGGAGAGGACATGGGGCCCTGCCAGATCCTGGGGGACTGGTGACAGTGACCCCCAACCATGAGGACAGGCTGATCAACACACAACCTCAGCCATGCCTGTGCTGCAGTGTCCCGAGTTCTAGAGCAGGGCTCAGGTTATGGGGTGGGGCAGCTGAGCTCATGTGTGTTCAATGAAGGCAAGAGAAGGCCTCCATCCCAAATCTCCAAATCCCACTGTGCCCTGTCTCCTGACCACCCTTTCCCATAGCATCTACTCCCCCTGCGCTCTCTCACCGTGGCTGACTTGTGCGCTCAGTGCAGGTGGTAATGGGAAATAGGAAAACAAAAAAGAAGCAAATACTTTCCTTACAACAGCCCCTCCCTTTGGTCAGACACTGTGTTGGGTCCATTCTACCCAACAAGGGCTGTGATGGACATACATGCAGAGCTAGGGCCTGAGGTGGGTGGTCTGTAAACAGGAGGGGCAAAGAGCCAGTGATGGGGTAGCCCTGTCCATCTGCAGAGCAGTATGGCAGAGGGGCACCTCAACCTCATGCCTTGGCAGGCTGAGGGGACAGCATTGTACATAGGGACTCAGATTGGGCTCAGGACAGCTGAGCATGGGAGCCAGGAGGATGGTCCCCTTCTGCCTTGTGATCCCCTGGAGATGGGGACAACATGCCCCTGAGGTCTGACCCAAATTCAGTAGTGGGCCTGCCCTACCCTCACCCAGCTCCATTTCCAAAGTGAGACTCCCCTCCCCATGGGGCCCTCACTAAGAAGGTGACAGGTTCTCAGAGGGTGCTGAGCTCTGTGGCTGTCAGCAGGGATGCTTTAAGGGAATTATCTGATATAGAAGGCAGGACAGACAGCTTTGCTAGGGTGCTAGCTCTTAGGGAAAGGTGATGGAGGTTGAGTAAGGGGAAGGGCAAAGATTGGAGACAACATGTAGGAGACAGAGCCCAGAGGTGGGGAGATGGACTGATGGACAGATAAGGAGGGAATGGGGGACGGAGGTGGGGAGAAGACAGAAGGGATCTGAAGGGTCCTGGGTTGGGCTTGATTCGGGTCTGCACTCTGGTCTTATATCAGTTCCAGGCAGTTCTGATACCACCCATTCCTGGCACTGATGGGGAAGTTCAGCCTCTGGGATTCCTCATAGCTCCTGCCTGGAAGCAGGGCCAGCCAGCTGACTTCAATCCCACCTCTTCTGCCTACATCAGGCAGAGGGGCCTGTGGCAGGTCTCTTCCCACTGGGGCCTCAGTTTCCTCTTATGCACCACTGTCATAGTTTGGGGACAGTTCCCTCAAATGAGCCATAAGAGGAGAGCTCCAATGCTCAAAGGGTTTTCTGAGACCCTTAAGAGCCAAGAGGCAGTGACAGGGATGTGGGAGCACAGCCTAGTCTCTGTCTGAGATGTAAGCTTACCCTCTACTCACCTACCTGCTAAGGTTCTACTGACCACCGGGGCTCTAGTTCCCTGGTACAGATGTTCCAGGTCGAAGAACCTCAAAAACATACCTCATTGTATAGGTGGGGAAATTGAGGTCAAGTGTGGGGTGCTGCTGGAGATCCATTTTGGGGTCCCTGGGGCTTGCCCATAGAATAGCTCCCATGGTGAGTGTGCCAAGTCAGTAGCAGCATGGGGGAGGCTGAACAACAGGAAGCTGGGGTCAGGGAAGTAGGGCCTTACCGGTTGTATCCATAGCCTCCGTGCCTTGGGGTGATAGACTGGTCTCCTGTAGAGTGCGCTCCCCACCAGGTGTGGGGCCTGTGACCAGGGGGCTGCCAGGACTGTGGTCCCCTGTAGAGGAGCCAGGAGCCTCAGGGCCTCCCAGTCTCCTCAGAGCCAACTGGATCTCCTGGTCAGCTCGCTCCAGGGATGCTCGGACAGAGTCCTCCAGGCCGGCTGGGGCTGGAACAGCAGCATCTGTGGAAGAGGTTAGCCTGGAGGGAGCGATGAGGGAACAGGGGGACAGACTCACCCAGAGACACATCTAGGTGTGCTTACAATCCTGAAGACTGCCTGGGTCATGTCCACCCATGCCTCAAGGTCCATCCACTGTTTCATGGGCTCAGGGGAGCTACCTGGAGCAGAGGCCAATCCTGGAAGTAGATGACTAGGCAGCTGCAGCCTCAGTACCACATAAGCACAACACTTGGCTTCCCTTGGTACACTGAGACCCACACTGGGCAAGTCGTCTGTTCCTCTAGTTAGCTATAGGACCCAGACAAAAGCCTACCTCTCATCCCCTAGAGACTGACTCCAGACCCCAGGTGTTGAGCTGCACAGCCCAGGGCGAGCACAGTGGAACCCAGCCCCAGGATGCAGAAGCAGAGACCAGGGACTACGGGGCTGCCATTGGGCAGCAGTTGCTGTAGCCCTTCCTGGTGATAGCACCAGGTCCATCTCACAAGGGTAACCCTTGTCCACACCCTGCCACACCCTGCCTGGAAACCCACTTGCTGCTCCCTATATCCACCTCTCACTGTCTGCAGCCTTCTCTTTGCCTCCTTGGACTTGCACACTATCCCTGGGATATAGGTGGAGTCCACTTCCTCCTTTGATGGTCAGGGCCTGCTTCCAGGCACACCTTACCACACACTCTGCATCCAGTTCTGAGCAGAATCCTGGCTCTTTCAAATGTGCTTGCTGTCCTCTCCCACCCCATCTCCATCGGTCATGCTCACTGGTCTTTCACCTGCAGACATTCCAAGCCCAAGGTTCCCTATCTGTCATGCTCATCCTTTTTCCTGACAAGGGCCCTAGCTCTCTCCTCTCCAGCTCTAAGGAGATAATCAAGACTCTAGTGCAGGCCTCAGAGCTGGAAACCCACTGGGGGCTGGAACTGGCCTGGGGGTTGTCACATGCTTTGGGGGACATTGCTCTGGACTCTCAGGGGTCTCTGTGTCTGGCGATGACAGGACAAGAGTGGTGAGAGAGAGTCCCCCTGTGTTGTCAGTGGCCCGCTGTGCAGGAGGGTTGGGAAGGTCTGTTGACTCTGTGTGATCATTATGGGGCCTGAGCTGTGGTGGTCACGCCGTATGACCCTGTGATGAGTCCAGGTCAGTGAGACCCTATGTATAAGTTGGACTAGAATCATCATGCACCCTAGGGAAAGACGTCTGCTTCTTTCCCACTGTGTGCTCCAACCTTCCAGACCCTGAGGACCACACTGGGAGGAGGGAAGAAGTGCCAGGTGTAGGGTGTGGCTGTCGCATTCTTCCTGGGAGGTGAGGACAGCTCTTTGGTCCCAGAGACAGACATAGAAGCAGGGGCCAGGTGTCCTGTCTGCCCAAATCTCTGGAGCAGCAGGAACTGGGACAGATGGGCTGAGAAGGGAGAAGGAACAGAGCACAGGCAATGGACATAACCCGTTTATTCAAAAACAACTGGCAGGCGCTTCTTACCCAGCTCCCTCCCCGTGTACAGACCCTCATGTCTACCCATGCAGAGGGTGCCACTCAGGCCTTGAGGACAAGAAAAATGTTCATCTGTAAGACTTGGCGCCCTGAAGAAGACCAAGCCCCCGAGCCTGGCCTATGTGGCTCCCTATGGACTGGGGGAGGAGTCCTTCTTGAGGGCCCATCAAGCAGCCCAGCCCTCTCCTGCTGGGTGCTAGACCTCTCAAGGGAATCTTCTCCTGCACATTCAGGGTTTGCAGATCCTTGCACATCTATTCAGCCAACAGCCAAGACCTGTGAGGTAGGAAGGGCCAGGGAGGTTCAAGTCCTGTCTTCATTGTTGAAGAGAAGGGGAGGGTTCTGGCTTCCCAGCCTTTCCTGAGCCCAGCATCTGAGGTGAGTCTGGGGGTTTCCAGGACCCGGTGCTGGAGCAGATCAGGGTCTATTGACCCCAGGCCAACCCCTCTCCCTGCTGTCTTGTGGAATGATACAGCAAGGGGACGGGAATATGCACTGCGGCTGCCAGTAGGATGGGGCTGGCTCAGACAGCAGATCCTAGGTCATCAGTCCTGCAGTTCCTATAGAGCCTTACCCTTTCCCCCCAGTTCTAGCCGCCTCAGCCTCCAATATCCACAACTTCAGCTCTGAGAGGAGCTAGGGGCCTCAGCCCCATCTGGGTGGATGTGCAGAGTGACTGTCTTGCCTACTGTCCCATAGCTTACTGTCTTGGTAGAAACTTCCGTTTTAAAGCTACTCTGGCCACTGTCCACAGTGTGCTGGACCTGTGTGCAGAAGGATGTCTTCCCAGGCCAGGACTCTTGCACACTGAAGGAGACTCCAGCAGGGTCACAGGCTTGGGCCCTCAACAGAGGCAGCTCACAGGCATGAGATTGGGGGGCATGGCTGAAGAAGCCTGGTGGGCCTCGGGACCCAGGTGGATGTCCCAAAGGCAGCAAGACAGGCCGCCCCACAGTGGGCTCACTGATCTCAGTTTGGACAACAGAGACTTCACAGGGTGGGCCATCATTTGAACTGGTGGATTCAGGACTGCCGCACCCAAACGTCTCCCCTTCACAGGGCACATAGTCTTCAAGGTCAGCCAGGGTTAGTGGGTGGCCATGATGTGTGAGAATCTTGGGGTCCCGTCCCCAAAAGTCTGCAGTGTCCTGAGGCTCTTCAATCATGCATGCGTCTCCTTCCTCCCCCTCCTCCACCATGCTCTTCTCCTCAAGGGGCATTTCTGGCCTCTCTTCAGCAGCACAGGGAAGGGGCAGCTCACAGGGGGCTTCTGTTTCCAATTCACGGCTTCCTGTGTCAGAAGCAGTCCAGTCCACATTGCCCCTAGCATCCACACAGAAGACAAAGGGCTCCCCGACACAGACAACTGGTGGGGAACTCAGCCCTGGCCATGGCCCCGCAGCTCTGCCCTCCGGAGCCAGCAGGTTATTATTGGAGTTGTTGGTATTGGGGTCCCCTCCGGATGCTAGGCCAGGCAGCGTGTAGACCAGCCCTGCTGAGTTGCCCGGTGCCTCTCTGGCTGGAGATGTGCCCCGGGTACCTGTCTTCTTCACACGAACCTCTATGGTCTCCTCAACTTCCACCCACTTGGGTTGGGGCTCAGAACCTCCAGGTGGGGCCGGAGCGGGGGCCTCAACCTCTGTCACATACAATGTTGGGACAGTGTGCTTCCGACCTGGCTCTGCCTCAGACCTGGGGTGCTGACTGGTCCCTGGTGAGTACCGAAGTTCAGGGGTCAACACGACCAGTCTTGATGGACTGGCAGAGCGACGGGAAGGCGATCTGGAAGGAGACTTGCTGGGGGACCGTCGCCGGCCACGGGGGCTCTTCACCACGGTGGTGATGGTCTCCTCTCTGCAGGGAGAGGGCCCGAGAGGGATCGGCACAGAGACACTGCAGCCTTACCCAATCCCTGAGCCAACAGTGCATGCAGGGCCAGCTTGGACAGGGGTTAGTCTATGAGTGAGGGGTAGATCACACAAAGAAATGCCTTCATGCACATGTGGACCCAACCTGCAGAACCCCAGTCAGAGAGCTAATGAAACAAAGCATAGAGTTCCGGTAGGTCAATCTCAGGTTCTGGTGTATACATTTCACAAGGCCTTTCAGTCTGGTAAGAGCTATGCTGCATGTATACATGGTCCCACCAACCTCCACACCCAGCAAGTTTTCCCCCAGCTGTTTTTAACTGATCTTCAGTCAGGGCCTGGCCAAGCTTGTGCCTGGGGGCCTTTCTGAGGGCCCAGCTCAAGCCACGAAGATCTGAGATCTGTGCTCTATATCTTTGGACCTGGGAGTGTCAGAGATTGAGAAGTCATGGCCACCCCTAGGAAGGTCTCAAAAGTAGCCTAAACTGGACACTTGGCTTTGGACATGGCTCAGCTGCTGTAAGCTGACTTCAGACAAGCTCCCTTCTCTTCCTAGGCCTTGTTCCCTGTTTACACAGTGGGAGCTGGAGAAGAAAAGGAGGCAGAACCCAGTGCTTCTCAGCTGCGGGATGGTTCCTCCTTAAACCCAAAGAAGACTGCACTTTAGGATTCCTCATGAGTCACCTGCTCCAGTTCCCCACGAGGTATATGTCTCCCCTGAAGTCTGCCCAATGCGGCTGACTGGCCTCATCTCTGCTCCTCCAAAGAATGTGAATAATGATGGCTTCTTCATGAGGAGTCCTAGTGTGGCACTGTAGGAGAAGCAATGGACTGCTAACCTCAAGGTTGGCAGTTCAAACCCACCAGTTGCTCCTTGGAAGTCCTATCCAGAGTTGCTATGAGTCAGAACCGGCATGATGGAACTTACCAAACAACAAATGCCATGAGTTACATCTGGCACAGATGCATACCTCTGGGGATGTGTGCTCACCACTATCCCATGTAGCCCCAACTATTGTGGAGTGACAACATAGGATTGACCTGCTTTGGGAAGAGAAGAGAGGAAGTCCAAGGAAGACTTAACCCAGGATCTCCTCAGATTGTCTGGAGACATGATTCTCCAGCAATATGGTCAACTATGGGCCCCTTTGGTAGATTTTAGATGACCCAGTCATGTCGCTTGGAAATCATAGTCTTTCCAGCCTCTGCACTGACTTTTACAAATTCTTCAAACACTTCCATCTGCATACACCTCTTCTTGGAGGTCCAACCATATTTCCAGGTCAAAACCAATCCTACCTTCTATGAGTTCATCTAGTTCCTCTTATACTACTTCATTAACAACATGTGTGACTTTTTCTTGAAGGACAGTGAGCACTGAAGAAATAAGTTCTCCTTAAACCTCCAATCCTGAACCTCCTTGAGCAAGCTTCCTTTTGTCTCTGAACCTCAGTTTCCTCGTATTACCAATGTGAGGGTTGGGCATGCAGACCTGTAAGGCACCTAGAGTTGCTCTAGTAGCACTCTTTAAGTTAAATCCAAATTAATTAAATTTAAATAAAGTTTAGCACATTTCCAATGCTCATTAGCCAGATGTGACTAATGGATGCTATAGTGAACAGTGTATATACAGAAACACGCTGAGTTTCCACATGAGAGAAGGTTCTACTGGACAACATCTCTCTAGGGTACTGAAGAGTACCGTTCTGTTCTAGCCCACTGACAGAAGCATTTCCTAGTCCCAGCTAACTGTGTGACTCTGGGTTCAAGCCATGGCTGAATCACTAAGATCCCGGAAGAGAAGACTGTGAAGTGTGAAGGTAGCCAAGGTCTCAGAGGAAGGTAGATTCCCTGGGAGGATCTGTAAGATGCTGACAGTCTGCATGGTAGGCAAAGGCCATGTGGTCAGGTGGTCAGGCGGTCAGGCAAGCAGATAGCTGGGCCACACAGGCAAGGTCCCAATGAGTTAGTGGGCATGCAAGGGGCACGGCAGTCAGAAGGAAGGTCAGGAACACGCCTGCACTTACATGATGACGGTTTTCTTGGGGACTTTAGTCTCCTGCTCTGTGACTACAAAGAAAACAGTCGGAACAGCGAGGGTTACAGATCAGGCAGCACCTGGAGTCTGAGCTATCTTTGGATGGCAGTGTAGTAGTTGAATAACCTGCTTAACTTCAGAGAACTGTGAACACAGTCCAGAGTCCTGGGTTCAAGTTCTTCCTACACATGTGCCCATGGGTAGGTAGACTGTCTCAACTTGATGCCCCAGTTTCCTCATCTTTGAAATGGGAGTGATGAGGCTGACCTGAGTGACTAGGGAATGAAGACATATGATAAAATACACCCACTCTTCTTCTTGAAGGTCTTGCAGGAGCAGAGATGAGATTGAAGGCTCTGCTTAGGCTGCCCACACAGGAATCCTATGTTCTCCTTTGGTCTGTGTGTCTAGAGAACCCTTGAAGTTATCAGGTTCCTGGCCCCATTTCTAAGACAGAAACTGCGGCCCAGAGAAGGGCAGGAATGGCTGTGGCTGCACAGTAAACCAGTGGCCACACTGGAGCCAGGATGGTTGGTATATTTTACAAAAAGGTGCCTCTCCAAAGGACAGGGACTCTAGGGTTCCAGAGGTGGCACATCTGAACTCTGTAGCCCAAGGTCCTAGAAGTCCTTCTGGAAGTAGCCTTGGAGGGTTCCTGGACAAGGACCTGAGATCCAAGCGTGAAGGGCAACTTAGAACTTTCCACAGAAGCATTCCCAAGTCTCACAAACTCAACCGTCTTTTAAATTTTTCTAGCTGTTCCCAGAGACAGTAAGATGGGGACTGCCGTTCCACTTTGCAGATGGGAGACCTGAGTCCCAGAGATGGGACACAACTCATCTGGAACCCTGCAGTACCTACTCCCCAACATACTGGTCTCTCTTTCCCTGGGGCTTCCAGGCAGGGTTAGGCTTAGGCATATAGGTACTCCTGGCCATCCTTGGCCAGCTGGACAGTGAGCAATGCACAGGATGGGCTGGATTCACATCTCAGCGGATCCTCTCTCACCACCTTGAGAGGAAAGCTAAGAGGAAGACTCAGAAAAGTCAAGTGATATGGCCTGTGGCACACAGATTCTTGGCTCCTGGTCTGGGGGGTTTTCTGTCTGGCTACAGTGCCACATAAGGAGCTCTGGTAGCGTAGTGGTTACGAATTGGACTGTGAAACACAAGGTCAGCAGTTAGAAACTACCAGCTGTTCTGTGGGAGAAAGATGAGACATTCTGCTCCCATAAAGATTTACAGCCTCAGAAGCCTTGTACAGGGTCGTTATGAGTCAGAACAAACTCCATGGCATACAGCCACCACCACTACACTGCCACATAGAGAAAGTTTGTCCCTTAGACAAGCAAGTCTATGTTAAATCTGTCTCCAGTGAGGTTGACACAAAGTAAAGGTTCTAGCTATATGTCTGTATGTGCAATGTGCACTTTGGAGCTACATTTACTGAGTGTGTGCATGCATCCCTACATGCACATGTGTGTACATGTAGGGATGCATGAATGTATGTTTGTGTGTGAATAGGAATTCTATTTTCTCCTTTGGTCTGTGTGTCACATGCACACATATGTATGTGAATGAATGCACTGTGTGCATGTATATAGGGGAACATGGGTGTGTGTGTAGGGATGTGTGGATGTGTGAAAGTCATCCACTGGAAGAGAGAGGTCAGTTCAGGGAAAGAGTGAACAGGATCCAAGTAAAGTGCTCGGTGTGTTTAGACTAGAGAGAGCTCCACCTTCACAGGCTCTCTGGAGCAGACTTTTGTGAAAACCCAGGGCTTTCTGCATAATCTTAGGGATGGCGGCCAGGGGCCCTTCAGCGCTGCTCAGGAGGGTGTGGGCTGCTACACTTCTGGACACCCTTGTCCATGTACCTGAGCTGCCACCTGACCGGCTCTCAATCTCAGGTGAGTATTTACAGCCACAGGCGGGGTGCAGCCGTGCGAAGCAGGGCTCCCACCAGTGCAGGTCAGAAGCAAGGGAAAGCCCCCAGATGGCCAGGCAGGGTTTGCTCTGGCTGCTCAACCGGCAGGTTAAAGATTAAGCGGCAGCATACGAGTTAGGAAGCAGGAGGTGACTCCAACTCCAGGGCCTTCTCGCCACGCTGAGTCTCCAGCACCAGGTCCAGCCAGGTGAGCCCCAAGGCCTGCTCCTTGGTGGCCAGGCAGCCCTGTGCCTTCACACTGCCCCACTCTCCAACTCTGAGGCACCTCTCTGTCCCGCAATCAGGGAGCATTTACGGTGAAAGAAACCAATACAAGAACGAGGCATATGATTTTGTGGGAGACGTGCTTATGGTTGCCAGGTAAGAGGGGCCACCAGGTGTCCCAGCAGAACACTGTTCCGATGGCGAGACAGACAAGAGACGCCCTGAAAGTGGAAGCGCCAGTGGCAGATGCATCTTTGTTTGGTGCTGTGTCATCAGGGTCTGGGGCTGATGGATGTCACTGGAGCTCTGAGGGGCACAATTCAGTCATGGGTGCTTGCAAGTGGAAGCGGGTTTGCCAGTGCCTACTGCTCCCATTAGGCATGGAAAAAGGATGCCCTACCCCAGGAAGAAAGGTTCTCTGTAAGAGACCTAGAGGGCATCAAAGGGCCTGAGGGCCTGAGGTCAAGTCCACAAAGGCAGTCTGGCCCCGGTGTGCAGAACTCTGGGGAGAACTGCATCCTGGGTGTACCAAGGCTCTGAGGTCTTGGAAGACATGTATTCCAAACCATCCTATTTTGAAGATTTCAGTGCCCAAATGTTGACCCACCTCTGTTTGTACACCCTCAGGGATGGGGTCCCTTACAGGTGAGGCCCCTTTACCAGGCTGAACAAGTTCCGGACACTTGGCTGTGGCTCTCTCCCTAATCCTGGCTGCCAGTAGCTGGTCCCTGCTCAGCCCAGCTGGAACCCTGGAGCCTTGGTGTGGGTGAGGCATTACACCCCTGTCACCTGCTCTCTCGGAGCAGACCTGTGACTTTCCTTCTGCAGGTTGATCTTCTCCCAGAACCCTGAGGGAAGCCTCAGGCCAGGCCAAAGAGGCAGGGTCAGGGTCAGCCCACCCTTCATAGAGCAGATAGGCAAGACCCCTGACACTCAGTGAAAAGAGAGCCATGAGGGGATGATCAGCCTTGCTTTCTGCATTCAGCAGGTGTTCTTCCTTGCTTTTGAGCCTCCCCTTATACCGTTCCTCGCCTTACCTGGCATCACCCCAAGAGGCTTGGACCCTGCTCTGCCCAGCATCTTTATGAACACTAGTTATTTACCCAGAGATGGTGGGCCAGGCTTAAAAACCTCAGGGTTGCCCTCTAGCCCTTGCCAAAACTTCTGGGATCCAGACCCACCCTCTTGTAGCCTGTATGTGCTGCCTGCAGGATAAGCAGCCTTTCTAGCCATCTTCTTGTCTCCTAGTCCTGCTGCCAAGGCCCCTCTTCCAGGCTGGTAGTGTCAGCCCCGGCCTCAGTGCCACCCAAACCCCTAAAGACCCATCATAACATCTACCTTCCACAGCGACGAGCTGCTCCCTGCGGCGCTGGTCCTGGGTCCGCAGTGCAGGGCTCTGCATGTACAGTTCCGCGCCACCACGCGCAGAACCCAGCCTGTTCACCAGCTGCAGAGGGCAGAGACTGCTCAGAGATGGGGCTTACAGTGCGGAGGGAGGTGAGGGGGCATGGTGAGTGTCTGGGAGCCCAGGAGGGGAGCATGGATGGGAACATGGACTGGCTCACAAGGAACAGGTCTGTCACTCCATCTACACGGGGACCTAGTACTGTCATCAATGGGGCTCCCATGAGGCTGGAAGTCTATCTGCCTGTCTAGTGCAGCAGCATTCCCCACACGTGCCTCTGAGCATGTGGACTATACAACTGGGAACTAAATGTCTGGCTTAATTTAAGTTGGCGCTGTAGGATAAGGACTGGACTGCAAGCTCAATTTGAACCACAAGATAGCAGTTCAAACCCACCAGCCACTTTTCGGCAACCCTAAACAGGATCGCTATGAATCAGAGCCAACTCGATAGCACTTAACAACAACAATAATTTGAATTTGTATTTGAATAACCGTATGTAAGTAGAGGCTACCTTACTCCACTTGCTGCCCACTTCTGTCTGGCTTCCAAGTGTCCATAGCAGGGCCATGGTGGGAGTGGCAAGCAGAAAGAGCCCAGGAGAGGTCTGCACAGAGGGTCCCCTTACCACCCAGGCTGCATCTCCTAGCACTGTCTATGAGGGCTTGGATTCCCACAAAGAATGCACGTCTGTGCTAATTGGTAACACTGAGTAAGCAAAAATACATTTCTAAGTGAACGAATCATTACATGAAGTGAGCCCCAGGTCCAAAATAAGCAAGAAACAAGTAATATCCTTGAACTTGAAGGGCATCGTGGCAGAGCAGCTCAGGGAAAAGGGGAGGCTAGCTTGACATGGAAGGAATGTGGGGGAGATCATGGCAGGAAGAGCAACATTGCAAAGACAGGGTGCTCGGCTCAGGGAGCTCATGGGATCCGGTGTCTGATGGACTGTTTGGCAAAACTCCAGTGCCCGGTGGGCAGAGCTGTGATGCAGAGCCCCAGGAGAGGTAGTTGTTGTTAAGTGTTGAGAAACCCTGTGTAGGGTTTCCAAGGAGTGGCTGGTGAGTTTGAACCATTGACCTTGCGGTTCAAATTGACCTTGAGGTCAAGTGGTGCCCCACCAGGACAGGAGGGGTAAAGATAGGCCTAGTCCCTGAGGCAAGTGGAGGACCCAGGTGTAGCCTTCAACCCCTGCCCTTCAATTACCTGCTGGTCCCCTCACCTCACACTCATAGTAGCCCAGGTCCCCCTGGCTGGCAGCTCGGATCTCCAGCACCAGCACACCGCTGCGGGGCTCACTGAACATCCCGTACTTGCTGCCAGGGTTCAGCAGGGTCCCATTCTTGTACCACCTGGAACCCAACCAAGAGGGGCCCAGTAAGGCAAGGCCAACACACCACCTCCTCATTGTGCCTTGAGTCCCAGGTCCTTCCAGGCTGTACTCAACTGTGCCCTTGCCTGGAAACTCACCCCTCCCCCTACACACACCTAGGCAGATCCTGGGTGTTTTAAGAACCCCACCCTTTATAAAAGTCCTGACTCTTGCTCTGGCTGAAGTCATCAGAGCAGAATAGGCCTCTGAGTGTTTGGAATGAGCCTGTGGCCCTAGATACCCACTTTTAGTGGGAAGATCCTGATTCTGTCTCTAACTGCCCCTCACTAGGATAGCATACTCTCTCATCCTAGGCAGACCTACTTCCCCTCCACTATCCCCAGATACTGCCCAAGGTTTCCCACCTGATCTGAGGATGTGGAGCACCTTCGATGGTACAGGTGAACTGGGCATCTTCTCCCTCCACAAAGGGGGCAGCACGGACTTTGTTCACAAACCGTGGGGGGACTGCAGGTCAAGAGAAAGGCTCAGTAAAAGGGCAGCATGAGAAAAGCCCATGGTCAGATGTATAGAGTCACCATCCCTGCCTTGCCCCTCTGAGCTTTCATACCCACACCTTTGGCTCTCCTTGCCAGCCTCATGTGTATGCACCATTCATTGGAAGGGACCACCATGTTGATGAAGTTGAAGTGGCCTTAACCCAAGTGCAGAGAATGACTTCCCTCCCAGCCCAAGATGGATCTCAAGTGGGTTTCCCTGGTCTTACCTTGAACCAGGATCTTCCCCAGGGTGCTGGCATTGCCGGCGGCACTTGCTGCGAAGCACATGTACTGACCCGAGTCCACGCCAGTGAGGTTGTCCAAGATGAGGGCACATGAGCCATCAGGGTCTTCAATTAGGATGTGGTGAGGGTCTACCTCTACTGTCTTCCCATCTAGGCAGACGAAGTGTGGCCGTCACAGGATGGGGTGGAGTAGACAAGGGCCCGCCAATGTATAGTGAACCCAAGGAAGTTGCTTCCAACAGGGACAAGGATCATAGGGAGTAGAATTAACAGGCCAATGCATATGGCACTGTGGGCTAATGTGTCAGACTACAAAGTCGTTTGAACTGCAAAGTCAGTGGTTCAAGCTCACCAGCTGCTCCTTGGAAACCCTATACAGGGTCGCTATGGGTTGGAATCGACTCAATGGCACAAAACAACAACAACAACAACAACTACAGCAGGCAGGCTGCAGAAGTGTCCATGGAACCCATCTCAGCCTCTGTTTTCACATTCCTTCGTCATCTTCTGAGTATATCTAATCTCCTTCTACCTCCTTATGAGGGCATGTGTCCAGTCAGATAAATCAAACCAAACCCACTCTTGTCAAGTTGATTTCAACTCACAGTGACCCTACAAAACAGAGTAGAAATGCCCCATAGGATAGCCAACACTGTAGATCTTTACAGAAGCAGACTGCCACATTTTTCTCCTGTGACTGGTGGGTTTTGAACCTTTTGTTTAGCATCTAACTGCTTTAACCACTGTGTTCTTAGGCAGTTCCTCCAAAAACAAAGACTGAACTGGGAACTCAGGGGTCAACAGAGGAGTGGGAGTAGGGACAGGGCACCATAAGAGACCCATGAGGGGGCTACATGGGAGACACTGTCAACCTGTGCTATCTGGTTGTGGGAGGGAGAGACAAATTCGTCAACAGTAATTGTTCCCAGTGTACCAGGTATGCCCTTGAGACTGTGCTTTTTGGGTGAGAGCCAAGCATTAAATTACCCTGCCTCTCTCCCATGAGCATGCTGCTGAATTGTATCTTAGGGGTAGTCATAGGAGACCTTCAAGTGTTTAAGGAACCCCTACTGGTAAAGCATGTAGCACCCTAATGACCATGGAGATCTCTGTAAAATGAGGCTGTTCTTAGTTACTGAAGGGTGCTTTCTGAGGGATTGCTGTTGTAGGCTTCCAGTAAGTCAGTGCTCATTCATGGTGACCCCATGCACAACAGAACAATTGTGTGCCCTCCCTGCGAATGAGTGTGAATCAGACCACTGAGATTCATAGGGCTTTCATTGGTTTAAGTTTGAATATAGATTTCCAGGCCTTTCTTTCCAGTCCATTGTAGACTGGAAGTTTCCGCTGAAACCTGCTCAGCATCATAGCCACTTGTAAACCTCCACTGACAGACGGGCGGGAGCTGAGCATAAGGTGCATTGGCCAGAATCAAACCCATGTCTCCTGCATGAAAGGCAACCATGCTGCCATTGAACTCTTTCATCTCCCATCAGAAAAAAAAATGTTTTGAGCTTTAGTTTTATGGCCTCTGGAAAATATAAGATGTGTTTTAATCTTTAGATTAAACTGAAGGTCATTAGATATAATTATCTGAGTCAAGTGGTCATGAAGACCCTGGGAATGAAATGTTTTTCAAGATAAAGATGAAAGGTTCTGTTATTCCTCACCTCACTGTGGAATGTAAAGAAAAACAGATCAAATGCTTAGCTGATGTACACTGCTCTATACAATGTACTTGTTTTTGTGAGACGGAAGGGCAGTCTTGAGAGATCATTCTTCCTGTCCTCCACACTGCTGGCTTTCTGTTAATAAACCTTGGATCGGATCTCTCCCCATCTCTGTGATTGACTACAGTGACTGGCGGCAAGCCCTCAGTTAGGAAATAATCAGAACATGGAATGTATGAAGCATGAATCTAGGAAAACTGGAAGCTGTCAAAAATGAAATGGAACACATAAACATCGATATCCTAGGCATTAGTGAGCTGAAATGAACTGGTACTGACTGTTTTGAATCTGGCAATCAAATGGTTTACTATGCCAGGAATGACAAATTGAAGACGAAAAGCTTCACATTCATCATCAAAAAGCACATATCAAGATCTATTTTGAAGTACAATGCTGTCTGTGAAGTGATAATATCCATACGGCTACAAGGAAGACCAGTTAATACCACTATTATTCAAATTTACACACCAACCACTAAAGCCAGTGATAATGAAATTGAAGAATTCTAATTAACTTCTTCAGTCTGAAATTGGTCAAACATGCACTCAAGATGTATTGATAATTAATGGTGATTGGAATGCACAGATTGAAAACAAAGAGGAAGGATCAGTAGTTGGAAAATATGGCCTTGATGATAGAAAGGATACTGGAGATTGCATGGTAGAATTTTGCAAAACCAATGACTTCTTCATTGCAAATACCTTTTTAAAAATAACATAGTAGACGACTATACACATGGACCTCACCATATAGAACACACAGAAATCAAATCATCCATATCATCAGACTGTGGAACAGACCATCAATTACTCATATGCAAATTCAGGCTGAAGTTGAAGCAAATGAAAACAAGTCCATGAGAGCCAAAATATGACCTTAAATATATCCCACCTGAATTTAGAGATCATCTGAAGAATAGATTTGATGCATTAGACACTAAAGACTGAAGACCAGAAGAGTTGTAGGATAACATCAAGAACATCATACAGAAAGAAAGCAACAGGTCATTGAGAAAACAAGAAAGAAGTAAAAGATCAAAATGGATGTCAAAAGAGACTCTGAGAGCGCTCCCTCTGACCCTGGCCCTTGCCCACAGACACGCCTTGCAGCTCAGCTCCTGTAGATTTGTGTATGTGTTGGATGCGGGAACCTGTGTTTAAGTAAGAACTCAGGCCTCACTGGAAACATTCAAGAAAAGCTTGGACAACCATTATTCCAGAAAAGAAAAGAAACTCATGCATCAGAAGAGGTGACTAATAAGCATACCAAAAGAATATGGCTGCACAAATACCAGAATCTGATCAGATAAACCAGTTTAAGGAATTTCTTGGAACCTACAATAAACTTACAGAAACCTGCTTTTTGGATTGTGTTAAAGACTTCACAACAAGAGAAGTAAAACCAGAAGAGACCACCTGTTCAGAGCACTGCTTACAGAAATATTTAAAAATGACACAAAGAATATCCATGAGATTTCAAGAATATCATATTCAGCAGAATGAAGCTCTGGCAGCCACAGCAGGCCTCCTTGGGCAGCCACGATAGACACATCCTGATGGCTGGACTTACGTTGCAATATTGCTAAGAGTTATTGCACTGGAAATGAGGATTCATATGATAGAATCTCATAAAAGCAAAAGTCACCAGGCTAAACTATCTGACAAATGGAAACTACTGGAGAAAAAAAAATGGCTGTGTACCAAGAATAATTAAATAGAAGGTCTTGTTCAATGAAAATAATAAGATTCAACACTTGTTGGGGCCTTAAGATTCAGCAGCTTGGTCACTTGATTAGAAAAATAAACCATTGTTTCTTCAATTGTGACTATTAATTTTAAAGCAAAATATGTATCCAATCATGTATGAGATAGAAAATAATTTTTATTACTAAACGTAAAATAAATGGAAGTATCACTGAGCAGTTGTTTATACTATATAATACCATAATATTCTGACTGGACTGTGGGTACGTTGAAATGTTTTTCAATCAGGATCATCCTCCAAGTATTCCTGTTCATTCATGTCTGCCTCAAATTGCTGGTAAATACAGAAAATAGTTACTTGGCTAATCATTTCAATGCAAAAAAAAAGAGACTCTGAAACTTACTTTCCAGCACAGAAATGCTAAAGCAAACGGAAGAAATGAGGAGGTACAAGAGCTGAAAAGAAAATTTCAAAGGTCAGCTGAAGAAGACAAAGTCAAATATTATAACAAAATGTGCAAAGACCTGGAATTAGAAAAACCAAAAGGGAAGAGCATGCTCAGCATTTCTCAAGCTGAGGGAACTGAAGAAAAAATTCAAGCCTCAGCTTGTGGTATTAAAGGATTCTATGGGCAAAACACTGAATGATACAGAAAGCATCAAAAGAAGATGGAAGAAGTACGCAGTTACCGTACCAAAAAGAAACAGTTGATGTTCTATCACTTCAAGAGGCGGTATATAATCAAGAGCCGATGATCCTGAAGGAAGAAGTCCAAGGTTCACTGAAGACATTGGCAAAGAACAAGGTAATAGATGGAATACATACTGAAATCTTTCAACAAACTGATGAAGCATTGGAGGCACTCACTCATCTATGCCAAGATATTTGGAAGACAGCTACCTGGCCAACTGTCTGGGAGAGATCCATTTCTGTGTCCATTCCAAAGAAAGGTGACTCAAAAGAATTTAGAAATCATTGGACAATATCACTGATAGCCTATGCAAGTAAAGTTTCACAAAATAGAATACAAAAATGGCTGTAATCATACATTGAGAGAACTTCCAGAGGTTCAAGCTAGATTCGGAAGAAGATGTGGAATGAGGGATATCATTGCTGGCATCAGATGGATCTTGGATGAAAGGAGAGAGTACCAGAAAGCTGTTTACTTGTGCTTTCCTGTCTTTGTGCAAAGGCTTTCAATTGTGTGGATCATGAAAAGCTATGGGCTACATTGCAAAGAAAGATTATTCTGGGACACTTAATTGTTCATGAAGTTTTGAAAAGCAAAGACGTCAGTTTGAGGACTAAGGTGCACCTGACCCAAGCCATGGTATTTTCAATGACCTCATATGCATGTGAAAGTTGGACAGTGAATGACTAAGACCATAGAAGAATTGACGCATTTGAGTTATGGTGTTGGAGGAGAATATTGAAAGTACAATATTCAAACAGTACAAAAGAACAAACAGATCTGTGTTGGAAGAAGTACAGCTAGAGTGCTCCTTGGAAGCCAGGACGGCCAGACTTCGTCTCTCATACTTTGGACGTATTATCAGGAGGAACCAGTCCCTGGGGAAGGATATTATGTTTGATAAAGGGGAGGGTTAGAGAAAATGAGGAAGACCTCCAAGGAGATGGATTGGCACAGTGGCTGCAGGAATGGGCTCAGGCACAGCAATGATTGTGAGGTTGGCACAGGACCAGACAGTGTTTCAT